AGCCTGGCCTTCAACACTTCCAGGGAGGAGCAGCCACAGCTTCTCTGGCCAACCTGGGACACTGGCTCACCACCCTCACAGCCAAGAATTTCTTCCTCACATCTCAGCTCCATCTCCCCTCTGACACTTTCAAGCCATCACCCCTCGTCCTGTCACTCCCTGCCCTTGGCCAAAGTCCCTCCCCACCTTCCTGGAGCCCCTTCAGGTACTGGGAGGCCACTAGAAGGTCTCCCCGGAGCCTTCTCTTCTCCAGGCTGAACAGCCCCAACTCTCTCAGCCTGTCCTCACAGCAGAGCTGCTCCAGCCCTCTGATCATCTTCCTGGCTCTCCTCTGGACTGGCTCCAACAGCTCTACATCTTTCTTGTGCTGGAGGCTCCAGACATGCAGATTGGAGGCCATCAAGCTGCCATGGCTCCGTCTTTGACCGGTGGCTTGATCTGCTGCAGTAATTACGTGTCCTCAAAGCCAGAGATGGATGAGGACTCCAGGAACAAGACTGTACTTGTCCCTAAATCTCTCCTGCCTCAGAATTACCTTCTTGATAGAACATGTAATGGGTTAAATAGGAAGAAAACCATCCTTAGAAATCACTTCATGTTCCAGGAGCCAAAGAACCTTCCTGAACCCACCTCAGATGCAGCAATCACCTTTCACCCCACATCTCCAAGATGGAAAACATGGAAACTTGACCTCCCTGTAGAGCACGTGGCCCTAGAAGGTCACATTTCTGTCTGTCCCATAAACGTGGTGGCCTTAATGACCTTTCCATGCAGAACTGGGATGATGAAGAGTAGAAATCTCAGTCTTCACTGAGAACTGGGCTTCCTGTGGTCCTGAAATCCTGTTGTTCTCCCCATGTTTTCTTCTAGCTGCTCTCTCAGGAGCCCAGCAACGGCCTCTCCTCAGACCCTACCGTGCCCCTGGATCGACTCGCTGTCATATTTAGGTAAGAAAGGAGGGATTGGGGACAACCTGTGGGAGGAGATTTGTGAGCTCCTGAGTCAAAGCTGCTCACCCAGAGATTTCAAACCAAATTAATCCCAGCTCCTTTTCCCCTCAGCCCCAAGAGGAACGGGGCTGGAAGCTGCTTCTTCACCAACTTCAAGGTGCCCCCATCCCACCTCTGAACCAATTTCAGGTCCCCATCCCACAGCTTTGGCTTGTGTTTGAGGCTCCAACTCGTTTCCTCATCTTTAAAGACAAAACTCAACTGTTTAGATGAAAAAAATAGTGTTTAAAAAATTAGGAGAATAACTTTTTTGGTGCTTTTCACAGACACACCAACCCCATTGTAGAAAACGGACAGGTCCATCCGTGCCAAAAAGTCATTCAGGAAGTAAGTGCTGGATTTGGGGCAGGAATTTTTGTGGTGGGATTGATGGGGGTGTTGGTTGGTTGGTTGGTTGGAATCATCCAGATCCATGTGGCCTCTGCCTGGAGCTGTGTGGCTTGAGGAAGAGGAGCTGCTGGTGGAGCACCTTCCCTCTTGGAAGTAGGGATTGGTGTAGGGGATTTGGATCTTTAAACTCCTGGAAGGGGACGTGGCTCTGGGAATTCCACAATTGCCTTGAAAGAGGAAATGGAAAAGATCTTTATGATGATTGAGTCCAACCATGAACCCAACACTGACCAGTCCCCTATGACTAACCCATGTCCCTCAGCACTGTGTCTACACGACTCTTCAATCCCTCCAGGGATGGGGACTCCACCACTGCCCTGGGCAACCCCTTCCAATGCCTCAGAACCCTTTCAGCAAAGAAATTCTTCCTCACATCCCATCTCAACTGCCCTGGCCACAACTGGAGCCCATTTCCTCTTGTCCTGTCCCTTGGGCCTTGGTTGAACAGACCCACCCCCACCTCTCTCCACCCTCCTCCAAGGGACTTGGACAGAGCCAGAAGGTCCCTCTGAGCTCTTTGCTCCTCCATGAAGCTCATTTACACATCCCATAACACAGACACCACTTATTTGTGTGACCTGATTGCCACCTACCTAAAAATACCAAGATTTGGGTGGGGTTTTTTGGAGTAGAAGGTGACATCATGATGGGCTTACGTTGCTTTAACCCCTTCTCTCCAAGGGACTTGGACAGAGCCAGAAGGTCCCTCTGAGCTCTTTGCTCCTCCATGAAGCTCATTTACACATCCCATAACACAGACACCACTTATTTGTGTGACCTGATTGCCACCTACCTAAAAATACCAAGATTTGGGTGGGGTTTTTTGGAGTAGAAGGTGACATCATGATGGGCTTACGTTGCTTTAACCCCTTCTGTCTGTCTGTCCATCTGTCTGTCCGTCCATCTGTGCTCAGATCTGGCCCGTGCTGTCGGAGACCCTGAACAAACACAGTGCCGATAACCGCATCGTGGAGCGATGCTGCCGCTGCCTGCGCTTCGCCGTCCGCTGCGTGGGCAAAGGTTCTGCTGCTCTGCTCCAACCACTCGTCACCCAGGTATGGAGATGGAGGAGGAGAAATCTCACACTTGGGTTGTTTTTTTTTTTGTAGGGACATTGTCATCCCAGACTTGGAGTTTTTGTGGTGGTTTCACCCATAGCTTGGTGTGGTCTTTAAGTTTCCACTGATGAGATGGGGAGAGAAACTCAACAAAGGGCTGGTGGGTTGGGATGAGGACCAGGAGGACTCACTCACCAGGGATGGTCACAGGCAACACAGACTCCACTTGGGGAAGAAACATCAATTTAATTAGTTCCCAATTAATCAGAGAAGGTCAGTGAGATACAACAACCACATCTGACAGCACCTTCCCCCACCCCTCCCTTCTTCTCGGGCTCCAATCACTTTGCTCCCCATTTCTCTACCTTCCCCCCCCAGTGACACAGGGGACAGGGAATGGGGGTTCAGTCAGGTCACCTCTGCTGCTTTTCCCAGCATGAGATCCCTCCCGTGGGCTGCAAGAGTCCAGGAACAAAGTGCTCCAACATGGTCTTCCCATGGAGTCATGGACCTCTTTAGGCTCAGCTCCCAGCTCCAGCATGGGGATGTCCATGGGTTGCAGACAGGTCCAACACACCACCTCCTCCCCAACTCTGGGGTCTTCTTGCTCATCATGAGCTCTCAAAGTCACACCTGCCCTCAGGCTCAGCTTTCTGTTCTGGTATGGAGTCCTCCATGACCTACACATGGGTACCTGCTCCACCACTCCACCTCCATGGGCTGCAGGAGACCCTACTTACCTTCTTCTCTTCTGCCATCCCATTGTCTGAGGTTCTCTGTCTCCTTCCTCATGACAACGATGCTCAATGGTCTTCTTTTGTTCAGGTCAATGATCTCTCCTGATGGTTCTCTCCTCCTCTTTCTTTTCAAGCTGGTTCTTCCCTCATAAATATTTTTTCAAGGAGATGTTTCTTTAGTGCTAATTGGCTCAGCCTGGGCTGGAGGTAGGTCTTCGTTGGAGCTGGGGAGCTTCATGAAGCTTCTCACATCACCGTAGCCTCTTCTCCCACTATCAAAATCAGCCCCACCACACACAAACCCAACACAAAGAGGTCACACTCATCTTGGTGTTGGGTGTCCTCTGCTCTGCTCGGTGCTTCCACTGGGCTAAGGAAACATGGAAGGTGAGGAGAAGCTGCAGAGATGTTCCCAAGAGCAAGATCAGAGCTGAATGAGTCCTTCAGGGTGTCCTGGCTGGGATGGTGGGAGGTAATGAGTGTAGGGCTTCACCCCTCCATGGCTCACCTGTGGGTCACACAATCGTTTTGGTTGGGAAAGACCTTCAAGATCATCAAATCCAACCACAAATCCAACAATGCCAAGGGTTGGAGCTGGGGGGCTACATGCCCTCACCATCAGGAAGCCAAGAGGACCATGCCCCTTGGGGAGCAGCTGTTTTAGGGTGTCTGCAGTAGATCCAGCCCTTGGAGAAGCGTGGGGCTGGTTGAGGACATCCACCTCCAGAGGAGCTACCAAATTCTCAGCCAGATCCTGCACCCAACAGACCCAACGAGCAGCGTGTAGGGATTTCTCTGATGGAAACAACCAGTTCTGGTGCTGGACCTGCTGTTGCCTGTGGTGTTGGCCATGGGGTGGTGATGTTCATGGTGCCAGGTAGTCCCCATGTCTTCTCCACAGATGGTGAACGTGTACCGGGCACACCAGCACTCCTGTTTCCTCTACCTGGGCAGCATCTTGGTGGATGAGTACGGCATGGAGGAGGGCTGCCGGCAGGGACTGCTTGACATGCTGCAGGTGGGTGCTGGGAGATGATGGGCTTTGGTTCCCACTTCTAGTGGAAGGGGTCCCTGCTGCTGGCAGGGGAGGTGGGACCGGGTG